AGGTCCATGGAACCAAAGCGGGTGGTCCATTATTTGCATCGGGGTGAGTCCCCGGGATAGACAATCGGCAGGGTTTTCCTTACCGGACACGTGATAAAAGTTCCGCGTTTCTAACTCGTCTTGGATCTTGGCCACTCGGTTCGCGACAAACGTATCCCAACGGTGGAGTGAAGAATGAACCCAACATAAGGCGACGGTGGAGTCGGAAAGGGCAAATATTCTTTCTATGTGAACTCTATCCCTACATGCGCCGATAACTGTGGTAATAAGCTTGGTGAGTACTAATATTGCGCAAAGCTCTAAGCGCGCCAGAGAGACAACCTTACGGGGGGAGACTCTCGACTTAGAACTAATGAGGCTAATCGAATTTCTACCATTATTCTGGACATGGAAATATACAACGCCCCCGTAAGCCTTCTCGCTGGCGTCTGCAAATCCAACAACCGTTATGCTGCTATTTCTATCGACATTTATATGACGCGGTATTTTAATTTCTCTTAGTAAAGGAAGTTCCTCTGTAAAGCGCTGCCACAATCGAACAATGCTGTCAGGCGGCGAGTCATCCCAATCGCATTCAAATAACCAAAGTTGTTTAATCAAAAGCTTAGCGTATAATACCACCGGAGCTACGAAACCCATGACGTCCCATAATCTAGCAACGCATGACAGTATTGTGCGCTTTGTGCATTTCTCTACGGGCGGATTTACCTTAAGGCTAAACACGTCGCACTCTGGTGACCAACACAGACCGAGCACCTTGTGTGTATCGGAATCGTCGAATTCCTTTATCGCCGAAAGACGGTGTGATAGTGGGATTGTATCTAAAACCGGACGCGAATTACTAGTCCACTTCACAAGATCGAATTGACCCGATTTCATGAGCCTTATAACCTCGGCGGTGGTTAGGGTGGCCTCCTCCACGCTATCGACCGAATACACAAAATCATCCATATATAATCCGCTCTCAATTGCCCTCTTAGCTTTAGGATAAGAGGGACCTTCATCGTGAGCGAGCTGTCTCACCGTGCGTAACGCATGAAATGGGCTCGACTTTAAACCAAAACAAACGCGGTTAAATTCTAACACCATTAGAGGTTCCTTTGGGTGGAAACGATATAAAATGCGCTGGAATCTACGGTCGCATTCACGGACCCCTTTGCAAAGAAACATTTGGCGAATATCGGCGGATAGTGCTATACTAAACAAACGAAAATTGACTATTATATCAAATAAACTGCCCTGTAAATTTTGCCCACTATAGAGGATATCGTTAAGCGACAGGTGAGTGCTAGTTTTAGCACTAGCGTCGAGCACTACACGTAATTTAGATGTAAGTTTGTCCTCTCTAATGACTCCGTGGTGTGGTATAAAATACGACGGTGTGTCTTCGTAGTTATCTAATTTCGAAGCCACAAGTGATATGTAACCTTCTCTTATATATTCGTTAATGACGCCGTCGTAAGCTTCCTTTAACTGGGGCGAAGCGAGCATCCTACGCTCCAAGCTGTAGAAACGTTTTTCCGCCATTTGACGCGAATCGCCGAGAGATAAAACATCTCCCTTAAAGGGTAGCGCTACACTATATCTACCGTCGCGATCACGAACGGTCGTGCGGACGTAAATTTCCTCGCATATCCTGTCATCTGGACTAGCTATGGGTGGGACGTTCACCTCCTCCATCTCCCAAAATTTGCGGACTAACGACTCGAGCGGTTCGACAGCCATACCACAATAAGAGGCTGCCGAAATACTATCTAGGATGGGGGCGGAGCCAAGGATCACATAGCCCAATACGGTTTCCAGTGCGTAAGGCGCGGTATGCGAGGAGTTGCCCCTGACCTTATTGTTTAACAAAAGATGAGGGAAAAGCGATGCCCCAATGAGCATGTCTATGTTTCCAGGAACGGCGTAAGTGTCGTCTGCTAGAGTCAAATTTTTAAATTCAATCATTGCCGAGGTGTCAACCGAAACGGTTGGCAACCGTTCAGTGACCCTATCTACTACTAGTGCATTTATATCAAAGTTAACGTTACGATCTATCCGAGAATAAAATTTTAAATTTATATATCCCTGTGTCGCTTTACTAGTACCTCCGATGCCTTTAACTACAGGACATGAAAGTGACCTATTTATTACTAAGCCTAAGCGCTGACAACATTGTCGTGTTATAAAGCTATTTTGGGCTCCGCTGTCCAGCAGTGCACGGACGCTTTGTTTGTTTCCACGCGAATCCCTAACCAAAATACGCGCCGTACCCAGTAACACGGTTGAAGGAGGTTGTGCTCCCATATTTGCCAATGAGCACAGAGCGACATCATCAGGTCGACCGCTAGAATCGTTGACCTTAGTAGGGGTGAATTCCTTGTTCGCCTTACTTGACGCCGCTATGTTGCTATTTTCAAAATGTAATAGCGTGTGATGTTTCCTGGCGCACTTGCTACATACGGAACTCGAATTGCATTTTGCAACTAAATGCTTATCGCTTAAGCAGTTCAAACATAGGTTGTTTGTTTTTACTAACTTATAACGTTCGCTTGGTGAATATTTACGAAAAGTCGCACAGTTATATAAATTACCGTGTTTATCTTTACATACTATACAAGTATGCTGGAGCGATGTCGGCGTAGCGGTTACGTAAGTTAACGACCCTGCTATTTTAGATGGTTGAGTCTGTCTACGGTCGACGCACCTTTTAATCTCCTGTTTAACGTTCGGTGAGCGCTGCATCACCTTTATTTGATCTCGCACGAACGATGCTAATGAATGAAAGGAAGGCATCTCCGAGCTACGATGCTCCATTTCAAACGCACGCACGGTGTCGGAGTCTAATTTCTTTAATGCTATATGGAGAAACACCACGTCCATGAGGTCATTAAACTTCAAATTCTTAAGTGCAGCCACCGATGCTACAAATTTATCGAGAAACTGCTCTAAGCCGTTGATGTTCGCGGATGATATAGGTTTAAGATCGAATATCTGGTTCAAATATTCGGAAGCTAACATTCTCCTATCTTCATATTTAGTTTTAAGCGTTTCAAATATTAATACGTAATTGTTTGCTGTAGGTGTAAAACCCGAGCAGATCGACTGTGCTCTGCCACTAAGTTTACTAATTAAGTAATATAATTTTTCAGCGTCCGATAACGATGGGTTGTTGTGTATATTGTTTTGAAAACTACTGAAGAAGAAGGGCCACGTCTTAATATCACCATTGAATACCGGAATATCTATTGGCGGTAACCTAATTGAGTCACGAGGGCGTACCTGCATTTCAGGCTTCGCTTCACCTTGAGATTGTAGCAATTTTGCGGTTCTCTTCACGCGACACAACATATCTTCGAATGCCAGCAGCAGTTGGTAGTTCACTATGTATTTCGGGTCGGTTTGTAGTTCCGAATGATTAATTTGATCTAATATTCTTTCGTAATCTGTCCGCAAATTATCTATCGTTTCGATTTCATTTAAAAAGGCCTCCCGTACTGCCTCTATATGAATGTTCTTTATATAATCACTTATATTCTGCATACGCGAAAAGAGTATGTCCCTCTTGGCATAAAGCGTTTTAATTTTGATTTCACTTCCACTAACTGTCATTTTAAATTATTATAATAAAGTTATATTAATCACAATTAATCTTACACGCATAAACGACGTAGGATGAATACTCGGCGTGCCGTATTACGTAATCAGATCGAGCGCCCGATGCAATCAAGGCTACGCGTCGTTTGCTAAACCTAATAATTTTATAAAATTGTGGGGTAAGCGTATCAAACGGTTGCTATCACGCCGTTTCAATTATTTAATAAGCTTTAAATTTAACCAAATACGAGCGCTATTAAATGAATAATTCTGTTTGCGAGTAACAAATCAAAATTTTAATTTAAACGAACACTATTTAAGTCTATTCTATAAATTAGAGTGCGTTATCTAAACAATTAATTTAATAATTCGACCAGAAAATGGTTGGATAACCACTAAACACCAATCCAGATCCTGCCGAAGTGACCATAAAATTTAAGGCTGCCGAAAATCTAGTTCCCCGGTCAAACCTCAAACCTATTACGCGAGATATTGACTAAAGTGGACTGTATATGCGATTGCTTCTACGCTTACATAAGGCGACTACTATAGCATGCGGTACAATGCACTCGCTCTTCCCTAAACTAAACTATCACTTGTCGAATCGATGAAAGGAATCCTGCTTGACTAGGAAAAAAAACACAGATTGGAGCGGGTTAAATTATTAGCAAGCAGGTATAATTAAGGAGTATTGACTCACCGGGGTTTCTTCTTCCTGTCGATCACTATAGCGGCGACTTCCGGAACCTCCTCTGGACAGACACTTCTGGGGCCCCAGTGGTGCGTCAGGAGAGAAGAGTTGGTTCAACGACGACTGCGGCGGGAGAAGAGGCTCGCGCATCGGTCGCTCGTGTCTTATATATCCTCGGCTCAGGTGATTACGCGATGTTCTAGAATCGTCTTCTTTCCCCTCCCACCCCACCACCCCGATGTGTCGATAGGAGGGTACGAATGATATTGTTTAGAAAGGAAATAATGATTCTACAAGTTCCTACCGTCAAAAATAAAAAACGCGAATGGTTTTCCGCGCAACCAGCAAACATTTTCAAGATCGTCCCCACCATTACATTAGATTTGATAAACCACAAATCCTCGCAAAAGAACAAAGATTCTTACCAAGGATGATACGCGAGGCTATTCAAATTAAAAAAACATCCAAATTTCTATAGAGAAGATGGATGGGTGCTGCCAGCTGCCTTCATGATACTATAAGCTCATTTTGCGTAAATCTGACCAAAAATTAATATTCAAAATCTGTAGGTAGCCAGACTAACTATGACATTGGGATGTCAAACATCTCAGTCCCCCCCCCCGTGACCATGGGTGCTGTAAAGCACCCGAAACGTCGGAAATTAAAAATAAGTAAAAGTAATGAAATAAACGCCATAAAATCCGTAAATTTAGTTTTATTCAATAACATCTCAAGTTAATTCTCTGGCTTCCAGCTCCCGTCTCTTGGCTGAGGAGCTCGTGGTCTTCATGGACCTGGCGCGACGACTGACCCCCTTTGGCTTAAGGGTTGTGGCAGAGCTATGAACGCCCTTGTCTGGAATATCCTCTGGAGTCTTCTTGGTCGTCTCCTTCTGTGCGGCTTCATCCTTCTGTCCGTTATCCTCGGACGCCGCCGTGGTGGCAGTTGCAACCGTGGTCTCTTTCGTGGTGGTATCCTCTGTGGTCATAGTGCCTGAAGAATCTGACGTAGTTGCTGATGATGCTGACGCTGACGCAGGCGTGACCCCCTTCTGATCCCGACATTTCACCTGTCGCGTCCTTATCTGAGGGATGGGACCCGGGACGTAAGAAGGCATCCTTCTGTGACCTGTGTGTGTCAGAAGATTTCGTTCAAGATGCCGGTAACCGGCATCTTGAACGAAATCTTCTGATTCTTCTATATATTTCTAGCAGGGATCCGGATTTCGAAGGAACAACTGTTTCGGACGGCAGGGACACTTCCAGTGCCCGCAGTCGACGTGGGACAATCTTCCACTTGATGACGTACGTTCCTTGCTTAGTGCTGGTGACGCACGTCCCACGCACCCCTGAATGCGTATGTATAATACGACCCCACTGGGACCTCGAGAGAGAGAGAGAGAGAGAGAGAGAGAGAGAGAGATAGACGATCAGCCGGGAGGAGGCAATTAAAACACTTTTTCCTAGGTAGCTTCTTGTTCCTTAGGTTCGGTAAGACTAGTGATTTTATATATGCTCTTATCTTAAAACAGTGTCATAAATAATTATTGAATATCTCAGTAACCCGTTTGGTACAAGGTTGCAGCAGCGGCACTTACAATATGGTTAATGGAGTCAAAACGTCGCGGTTAAGTCGCTTGTCGTTAGCTCACCCCTTATCGGCATCTCGACGCTAATAATAGTATACGTTGAATGAGGTAAAATATATACGACATTAAGCGTTGCATAGATAAAATCATATTTTTTTATAAAATTAGAATGACAAACGAGCACACAGTCCATCTGATGTGTGTGAAGTGGGTGCTAGTGTGGCTACTGTGGGTGGCACAATCATGATGGTGATATCCGATAGCTAGTCTCCGTTGAGGCTGGCCGTTGTGATCGAAATTTGATCTGGAGGATACTATGATTATGTTTTTTACGCAGTATTTTATGAATCTTTTCTTTTGTCCTATATAAGAGATCACATTCACAAGTTACACTTTGCATCTTGTAAAGGAATTTGACGAATTGTAAATGTTGACTTATCTGTTTCGGCGGCTTGTTTAATGGCAGCTCGCTTCTAAACGAAGACAAACTTGTCTGTGACTGCAGACGCGTTTTCACCCTGAGGACTAAGATGTAATTCCTCGTTTTCAGTAAAAAGCCGGATTTTTTACGTTGTTTTTCTTTATCGTCGAGAAGGTGTTCACATAAAATTATTATTAAATTCAGTTGCTTCCGGCAAAGATCAAAGCCGATATTGTTGAAATTTACAACGGGCACTTAGTCCTTAAACCACAGTTCCACGGCCCTTTAAGTTTTACAATAAACACTTTTATTAGAAAAAATATTAAAATGTATTTGCTTGCACTTGTGTTTATCGAACGCATAACAATTTCCTTGTTCAACGCGTTTTATCTCGATCAGTATGATTGAACGAAATTTACGTAAATATAAGCGTTATTTACGATTAATTAAGTAAGAAAACGGCCCTATACTTATTTTGCTGTTGAGGAGTGAAAAATAAATTATCTTTAGACAAGGTGTATCAAAATTTAATTAAAAGACTGACCTTTTAAGACAACAATTTTTGTAACAATGGTTCGGTAAACCTGTAACCAACTTAAAACAATGAAGGCTATAGATGTTTTGTGTATTTCCTCTGATCAAGAAATATCTAACAGCTTGTAATTGTACTGGTCTTTATTACAGATTACAGATTACAGATATTATACAGTTTACAGATATTATACAGTGTAAGCAGTGATATTTGGCGGCAGTTAAAGATAACGTTCATCCGTTATCTTTTCCGTTATCTAAGCAGAAAAGGAATCGTACCTCTTAGAACTATTAGATATGATGATATTTCCTTGAAGTTTTTTCTCCCTATTAAATCTATACTCTATAATATTATAAATAGAGGGTAACTCTGTACGTAACGTAATTAAATAACTCAAGTAAGTCGGAAAACGTCGTACCTGTTGAGAGCTTTTGGCTACGCGTAGATAGCGAAGACCATCCGCGCATCTAAAAAAAGCTTTAAAAAAGAATTATAATATAATTGATAGAATCAGACGTTACTTTGCGGAAACCCATTGTAATAAATGATATTAATAGTTATTTCGCAACCATCCGCTTAATTTAATAAAATGTAGTGTCTTACCTAGTTTGAAGAGCACCTCCCACTAATCCCGGCACCACCAATCCCAGTACTACTACTCCCAACATCGCTTAGCGGTCAGCCGCCGTAGAGTCAATATTACCTGAAGATGTCTCGTGTAGAGGTGAAACACGTGTCGTATTATCGTCAATGGTGTGTCTTTCCTAGAATAGTGGTGTTGGGAGTAGTAGTGTTGGGAGTAGTGGTGCTGGGATTGATGGCGACGGGATTAGTGCACGAGAGAAACGAAGAACGTAAGAAGCGACAGTAGCCTAATAGCAGGGCGCGGACCGCGAACTCAAAAAGGTTGTGGGTTCGAATTCGCAATTCGACTACTGGCGTGAACCACTCGTATCACAAGCAATTTAAGCATACCATGAGTGGTTAAGGGGAATATTAGTAATGTTTATGGCATTGTTAATATTCTTTACTTAAAAAAAATTGAGGGAGGACGGGAGGTGTCTTCAAACCAGGTAAGACACATCATTTTATTAAATTGAGCGGATCGTTGGAAATTAATATCATATATTAGAAGTATAGTTGCGACTCCAGGTCCTTCAAAAGAGTCGTTGTCGCTCGTCACTGTACGTTCCACTATGAGTTTTCTTCCGCGTACGACCTCTCTGTTGGAATAATTTACCACCGGCAATTTTTCCGGACCGATACGACCTGGGGACCTTAAAAAAAAGAGTTTACTCCTTTCTAAAGGGCCGGCAACGCACCTAAAATTCCCCTGGTGTTGCGGTTGATCATGGGCGGCGGTGGTCACTTAACATCAGGTGAACTCTATGCTAATGCTAAAAAAAGCTTCCACAGCGTCTACTGTATCAATGGTTAAAGTAGCACAAAAACAATGTATTGTTTCAATGTCCTTTTGTAAAAATTCAAAAAAAAAGGCCTCAATAGCATGTGTCTATTTTATAAGAATAACTTACAGTAACCTTTTTCTGCGTGACTGTGGGTTGATGTCGGCTTGGTTGAGACAATATAAATATTTGTTCAATCAGGGCGAAGCCGGAGCTCGCCGCTAGTGAATTATAGGTATTGTAATTCAGCAATTTCCTCAGCAACTTTCTTTTTGACATTATGTGCGGAATGCCATTGTCCGTCAATGCACTTTGGAATGGTTATATTTATTATGGTGATGATAGTAAAAAACAACATTCCCACAACGACGTGCCTTAGCGTTTGGCTGTTACGTGACAGGTAAACATATTATCGATAAGATGACATCGATAGGTAATCTCTACAAAAATTAGACCAGAAATAGCGGGAATTCACGTATTTGTTAAAATTCTGTATTATAATTCTTACGCATTTAGAGTATTATCGTAACAAAACGCGATATTTTTTCCTATACATTTGCGTTTGTAACATTTGTACTAGTTCTAAAATATTGCATTTAGAGTGCTAAACATTTTAATTGTAATTACGTGTGAAATGTATAATTTTGTGGATTTCCTTTTCTCGATGAACTGCATTCAGGTACTGCACACGTCACGATATTTAATCTCACCTTTTAAAAACTTTTTAATACTTCAAAATCAGAGATACCGCGAAAATTAGTGGGATTTGTTTCGTTAACGTTTGACGTCAGCCCGATATAGGTAGCGTGTATGTGTATGGTCTAGCTATTCTATCTTATTTAAACGTAACATATGCTATGCTCTTTCTCTTTTATATTGCCAATCTAACGTAAATCTAAATAAATATAAGCTAAATCTATGATGTAAACTGCCTCCACGATACAGCAGAAAAATCTAGTGTAACGGTTAAAAATATATATAAATCATCTAAATCATCTGCCTCGTCGAAGGATCTATTTTTATATAAAAATTGACTGTACTATACACGTAGATGGATTTTTCATTCTACTTTTCAAAGTTTGTATTTTTATTTATAATTTTACTGCCATTGATGTTTGGACGTTGCAGAAACTCTCGAATAATACTGTTCCCAAAAAATAAATAGTACAAAAGTCGTTGAAAACACAAAACTCATATATATATAACATTTTAATATCTGGATATTTCCAAAGCTTTCATTTTTATAAAAAGGGTTGAGACTTTGTCTTGTATATTATTTCTTGTACGTGAACTGTTCATAGCTTAATATGTGTGAGTGATTTTTGATTTAATAATGTAATTTAATAGAGTGCAATGCAATTGAACGCTTTGAATAGATTAAACCTAATGCAATATCTAATTCGAAATGTAAAACAGCTATCATCATCATCGTTCATCATTAATACACATCAAAAGTCTACTGCGGAACAGAGGCCTCCCCTGTAGATTGATCCATAGTTACTTCGAGTCGGAAGATGGTAGGCAACCGCTGTTTTTTGTTATTTTGAGTTATTATGTGAAAGATGCTACTGCCGATCTCTTGTTTAATTCGCTAGAAGTATTTTTCTTTGCTTACAGTTAATGGGCTACATAAGCTTACTAAATAACCTAGCGTAAGTGATACTGTTGCTAAAATAGCTGGTGTCCTTTTTAAATAATAGTCGCGTCTGAATTTTAACCTAGTTCCAATTACTACTATTTAAGCTACTAACCTCTCAAACCTCAACTGGTACGATATTACGTCATATCCCAAGCGGTCGAATTCGACCGGACACACCCACAGCACTTTAACCTATAAATACTTATATTTAGAGACTACTTTGATATTAACAAGTTTGGTATTATAGAATCAATATGGAATTGTCTATCCTTTAGTGGAATAAAAAACAGTTACTCTATAGATAATAATTTATAATCTACATTCAAAATGTGTCATTGTCGAGTGTTTGTTGTACATTGCATTGCGTTGATTTTTGAATTTTTCTTATAACAGTATTTTTTATATTATAAAATTGTTATAAAAAGTTTTTTATGTGAATATAATTTATTTTTTACGTAAATAATTTAGAGTTATATATAGAAATAATAGTAATTTTCACGTTATCATCATCCACTTGGTATGTAGTTATTA